CAAAAGGGAAATCAAACATATAGTTTATAAATGGTAAGTTAAAAAAAGGAATATCATTGTTTGGAAAGCAGGGGTAAGGAAGATCGGTCTTTATTTTTAAAGGTTTTAGGTTGACAAAAGTAGATTTTTCTTCTCCTCGGTTGAAAGGATCAGGATGTTAAATCCTTTCCTTCTTATACCACAAGTTTCACGTATTTTTATCTAAACTTACTGACAGATATTTGTTTAAAGGCACAATAGGATCCGATCCTTGTTTTGGACAATCGTGCCTCTTGCCATGCCACATGTGTAAAGCAAAATGCATGTTTTTGGGATCAGAGATAAGACCCCAATCATGCCCTACTTGCTAGTGCAGGAAGAGCCTAGAATCATGATTCTGGGCTCCCCTGTACTGGCTAGGTGCCCAACAATCAGCCGATTGTCAGCTCACTCCAGGGACTGTATCAGAGCTCAAAGCAGCCACCATACAGTCCCTGCCAGCCAGCAATCAGCTGATCACTGGCAGCATCAGGACCACACCAGGAAGCCCAGGTTGCTGAGTAATCAAATGGCAAGGACTGCAATGGGGTTTGAGCCAATGCTGCTGACAATTCCAATGCTGCTGACAATTGGCTGATGGCAGTGGCGTACCGATGCGGGGGGAGTGGGGCCATGGCCATGGCCCCCCAACTGCCAGCCCAGCTGGGCCCTCCAGGGGGTCTCGGCAGTGGCACAGAGAAGCACTGGTGGCACTTCCGGTTTTCACCACCGGCGTTTCCGGGCTTAGCGATCGGCCACCGGGGGATCCCCTGCCCCCAGTGATCAGCCGTGGATGCGGGGGGAGGAGGGGAGCGAAAATAAAAGCATTGGCCTCCAGGTGCCAGAGACCCATGGTACACCACTGGCTGATGGTCAGCCAATGAAAGGCACCAGGGCCAGTTGGGAGACCCTAGTGCAATCCTGCCAGGTACACACTCATTTTAAGGTGCAGTGGAAACTAGCCATTACTTGTGTATAATAATTTTGTAGCTGGTTTTGCATTTTGTCACACCATTAATTGCCTGAACATGAGGCCAGGTTACACTTTAAGAAGCAATTGACCAGCTAATCACATCTTAAGTGGAATATCTGCTACCAGCTCAGTGCTCAGTCAAAAAAAAAATCAAACATGCCAAAAAAATTGTAAATCAAAGCATCAGACAACTGATAAATTGCAAACTGAACTCTATTCGCCAAGATTTTCAAGTACCGAAAATATTGCTTGCTTTCAGCATTCTGTATGTTGTCTTTTGCTTACATGCATGCAAAATACCAATTACACTTATTACACTTTTACTCTTTCAATTTCACTGTTTATTAAGTGGTCGAGATAAACCTACAAAGGTTTTTTTTCTCTCCCAGCCCCATGTCGTAATGGTTTTGTAGCAAGAAAAAGTCAAATTCACTTCTCTTTTTACAAAACTCCGCACTATGGAATATATCCAGTTTTAGTAAATAAGATACATTTTGCTGAGCAAATTGTCAGCAAGTATTTCCATGTTTTTCCACATCTCATTAAATCTTGCATTAAATTGCACTTAAAAAAACATTCTAAGGGTGGAAAAAAGTCTTATAAATGTACCAAAGAAACAAATAACTGTCACCAGAGGACCATCTAGTGGTGGCTTGCTCAAATCTCATGCATCGTTTTGTACTGTTGCCATATAAGGCAAATAAAGGTATGTATTGCTTTTCTATATAATTAAGTCATAAGAAAAGATAATAAAGGGTAATCCTGGCAGTTTCCTGAATCCTCTGCATTTTTTCCGCTTGGTTTATAAACCTAGGTTTGACAAACTATAGCGACTGCATCTCTCATTTTTCTAGCAGTTATGGACAAAAGACAAAAGATTGCCCTGCTAGTTTTTAGACTTACCAGCAGCTTTTCTTAAAACCAGTAATTTAAGTTTTGTTCACTTTTGCAGATGCTAGCAGGATTGATTGAAGTAGCTCAAATAACTTCAAAGGACCCTTTTACTCAAAGAGTAGTTGGGCAATATTTGCCCTGCTCCTACAGCAGAGTCTTTTCCTTTTATTCAACATGTGTGAGGCTGGCATTACTAGTAAACAGATGAGATGCCTTATACTCAGTATGCTGTTCATCTGCATCACATCTCACTCAGCCAGTTGATTAGAAAGAATAATTCAGTGTCATAATAAAGTTGAGGCTCATTCAAAAGCTACTTGGCTGCAACTTTAGTTCATAAAAGACAATGGTAAGTTAGGTTGACCCAAACTCCCAGAAGTTAATAATATCTTGCATTGGTGCTCAAAACTGAAAAGAGAGTCCCTTCCATTTGTAATATTATACAATCATTACCAATTTCTGTTGGACATGAGCTAGTGACTTTGACCAGAAGCACTTTCCCTCCTTCCCACCCCACTTCATCTATACTTGGTAGACCTGCATGAGGTAGCCCCTGCGTAGGTATCCATATTGTTGCCAATTTGCTGTGATGTATTTTTATGGGACTACATCTTGAGACTATAAATTACAATTTGCACAAAATATGGCACTCTACAATAAAAAAAGTTTCACTGTGGCCGTAGACTCTGCAACACTTCAAGATCTGCATTATCTACCACCAGAAATACAAGATATTTTTGGGTGTAGAATTGACTTGTTCCAAGATGTCACCAACTTGGAACTGTCACAACCCAAAGTTGTGGTTTTTTGTTTTCGTGTGCTTCGGCACCGCTAAATTATGTCCCCGCCAAATTGCAGCTCCTTTGCACGGTAGAGTTTTCTGCTGCAATAGAGAACCCGTATGCAAAACAGTATTTCCCGCCAGTTTGTAGCCTTCTTTGCATGGTGCATTTCTTTTGCATCATAGTGATGCACGGTGCAAAGGAGTTCCCGCCATTTGTATTTAGATTCGCGCCACATTATTGGCCGATCCTAAATTATGCACACGTGGCGGCTAGCGATTGGCTTGCTAGCCGTATAAAGAGCTTGGGAGGTTTCCGCCCAAGTTGGAGAGAGAGAGAAAGCAATTGGAGTTTGGGAGAAAGAGCGTGAAGATTTCTAAGCGCTGCTAATCCCTTCGAACCCAGCTTCTTTTTCTCCTTAAGAGGGCAATAGAGGGCCAACTTACCGAACCCACGGAGTCTTAACAACTCCGGGGGCCTATTTACCGAACCCATGGAGCTTCAACCACTCCGGGGGCCAAACGGCCTCTAGCCTCTCCCCATCGCCGAGCGCAATCCTAAGACGTATCCCTTTCCTTTGAAACTACCGAACCCGCGGAGCTTCAACCACTCCGGGGCCAATTACCGAGCCGAACCCACGGAGCTTCAACCACTCCGGGGTCAATTGTCGGAGTCCTCTAGCAAGGACTTAAGCAGAGCTGAGCCTGGAAAACTGTCCAGCTTACACCACGACCATCTTTGGTGTAAGTAAACAATCTTTTAATCAACCATTACGCGTCCGTAACTAATTCTAGCTCGCCACCGGTCTTCTTCGACCCCGCGTGCCTGGGCTAATGGCCACAGCCCGCGTGCACAAAAACGGGTCCGCATATCACTCCCAGCTCGCACATGGCGACATGGATGAGATCGGGAGGCGGCCCGCACAGGAACCAATTCCAGTAGGGCAAAGTCCTATGGCTCAGACACCAGGGGGTTGCAGTGAGCAGACAGCCCAACTTGTCTTGTAGTAGGTGTGCCTGGGGACATTTTCACTTTTCTATGTGGTCTTCTCTCACAAGAATGACTTCAGTAAACTTCAATAGCCTGCAACTGACTGAAGTTTGCCTGACTAGGGCTAAGGAGTACACAGACCCATGATTTTTGG